AAAATAAAATAAAATAAAATAAAATAAAATAAAATAAAATAAAATAAAATAAAATATTCCCGTTCCTTACCGTGATTTGATGTTCCAGTCCTGAGACATACACCTTTTCCTTGTTCTCACCAATCACCCCAAATCGCACATGCGCTATGCCGGTGACCCCTTTCCCATAGAAAAAACTGTTGGGGAAGCCAAGAAAAAAAATCAAATGATTAACTTTGGGATAAAAGCACAAACATAATCATTTTTTTTTTCTCCTGTGTCCACATGATGTTGCCTTCATCTGATCCACAGCCTGAAGACATTCTTTTGATTGATTATGTTCCATCAAGTTGATGTCAACTCTTAGCAACTATATACAGTAGTTAGATTTTCTCCATGAGGATCTGTCCCTAACCTGGTCCTTCAGGTCTTCCAACAAAGTCCATCCACCTTTGGTTGTCCTCTTCTTCTCTTTCCTTCCACCTTTCCCAGCATCAGAGCCTTCTCCAGAGAGCTGGTCTTCAAATAATGTGTCCCAAGTAGGATAAGTTGAGCCTGGTCATGTGTGCCCTGAGTGAGAACTCTGGGCTTATTTGTTCAGTGGTCCATTTGTTTGTTTTCTTGATTGTCCACAGTATTCTCAGGAGTCTTCTCCAATACCAAAGTTCAAGAGCATCAATACTCTTCCTATCCTGCTTCTTCAAAGTCCAACTTCCGCTTCCATAGAGTGTCACAAGGAATACCATGACTAGCACAATTCAGATCTTTGTGGTTATAGGCCCATTCCTGCATCTGAATATCTTTTTGAAGATCTTCATGGCTGTTCTACCAAATGACTGTAACAATATAAACTAGAACTTTCCCCTTTCCCCCGGTAGGTTTTGCTCATAATATGTGCTTCACTGAGCACTTCCTTCATGGCTGGAAATTCTGGGAGTTACAATCCCAAGACATCTAGGCTGCATTAAAATATTAAATATTCTCCATACAGGGTATCTATGATGATGGTCAAATCCCTTTATTTATACTGCTGGATAGTTAGGTTATGCCAACTGGCTGCCGGTAAAAAATTTTTTAACCAAACCAAAGGTTGTTAAAATACACTCCTTTTTTCCAGTATAATCTTTAAGATACCCAAGAACAAGACACTAAAAATATTAAACTTCCCTTCTCACGCCCCACCCCAACACCCACAATGCTGCCATCTAGACTTTTGAGAACCGGGACTTCTTCTGACCTATTTTGCATCTGCTTTTTCTGGGCTTATAGTGATGCTGGCAAATCCATTCCCGCAAAGGAAGGATGTTTTTTGCATTTCTATGCATGCTTGTGGTTGCCCACCGACTTATTTTGGATTGCAGCTATCTCAAAACCCTTGCAAATTTGGGCATATAACGTGGTTAATTGAAGCCATTGAATGAGAAAGAGTTGCTCAAGAGTCATCTACAACATACAGTGTAAGGACTGTAACAGCCACTATGTAGGACAGACGGGCAGAAGACTAGCAGAGCCCATCTATGAACACCAACTAGCATTCAAAAGACACAATGAAAACTCCTTAATCTCACAACACATGGACAGACTCAACCATAGTTTCAACTGGGAAACTGAGCACCCTAAAACAACACATGGACAGACTCAACCATAGTTTCAACTGGGAAACTGAGCACCCTAAAACAACACATGGACAGACTCAACCATAGTTTCAACTGGGAAACTGAGCACCCTAAAGCAAGCTAAATCCAAAAACATTAGGGAATTTTGGCATTCAGACAAATCAGCCATCAATATACACATAGAGATAAACCACATTTACAAG